CTCATCCATCCATCCATCCATCCACATCCATCATCCATCCATCCATCCACATCCATCCATCCATCCACATCCATCCATCCATCCATCCATCCATCATCCATCCATCAATCATCCATCCATCCATCCATCCATCCATCCATCCATCCATCCATCCATCCATCCACATCCATCCACATGAAGTTTGGATGTGTGTAGATTCTGCAGAAAATTAGCAACCTATTTCTCGTCTGTGCTTCAGCATTCCCTGCCCCCTGCTCCATCAGTTTTTGGCCTTCCATTCCATGGCTGAGCTGCCTTCATTCCCAAACACTTTGGTTTTTCTAATAATACAGCTGACTATGGAATATTAAAGATAGAGGAAATGTCACTTCTAGACATGTTGCTCGGGTGGCATTCAATCACTGAGCTCCTGAGAGCGACCCGCCCTTTTCCAAATGTTAGCAAGGCCTTCTTACGTGCTTGTCCCGTTAGCTGTCTTTTTCTGTGCATGCGCATATTCAGGCATATATCTATGGTGAGCTAGGGTTTCAGACAGCCATTGAAGCTCACCTTTCTCAATGTGGTTCTTTGAAAATGGCCAAGGGTGGTAAGGGAATAGGATTTTACAAGGTTTATGAGAACAAAAGAGAAGCGTCGGAAGAGGCAGATATATCCAGGAATGCTTTGCGTGGAGCGCTCTCCAACAGAATCATTGGAGTCGGGTGTTCCAATCGCTTCTATGGCCACAGCTATAGAAAAAAGGCGTCTAGGCATGCAGACTGCTTTTGCTTACATATCACCAGAATGATTGACAATTAGAAGAACCACATTTTTATATGATCCACTTGGAAAAGAAAGATCCTCTTCCTTAAGTGTGTGCGTGGGTAACTAATATGTATCATTTATAGAAAAGAAGATGCTACAGCTTACTTACATCAAACAGTCTCTCGACGTAAATCTCCTCGTTGACCTTCTCTCTGAGCATGTCCTGGGAATGACGGATAAATGTAACATAGCTGTCGGCGACATCCATCCCTGGCTTCTGCAAAACAGCAAATCAAAGGAGAGAAAAATAATGATAGTACATTTTAAATGTATGTTCGATTTTCAATTATATATATCTAATTAATTATATTTCACAGAATGGTATAGTTATATTTATATATTTCCTACTGGTTAACAGTTTAAAAACAAGTCAAATTTTTTGGTTAAGAATTATGACTTTGGCTCCTCCCCCATAAGAAAAGGTGAATTTGTACACTAAACAGCTATATATAGTAGGGATGCACGATATTGGGATTTTGGCTGATATCCGATATGCCGATATTTTAAAACTCATGTAGCTGATAACCGATATCGATACCGATGTTAAAGCTGGACAAAAATAAGTAGTCATTGAAAATAGCAGTTTTGTTATCCATTTCTGACACTAATAATAATGACGAATAATATACTCAAATATATTTTCATATGCTGATATCAAATAGATTTTTAAAAACGCGGTATCGATCTATTTTACTTTCAAAATCTGGTGAAATTTCATCGTTCTGTTACAAACTCTCGTGATATTTTGCAAATTCTTGTGAGATTTTGTTAGTAAAATAGATCGATACCGCGTCAATATATCAACATATAAAAATATGGCAAAATTTGGTGAATTTTCGGGGGATTTCGTAGCATAACGATGACATATAGCAATATTTCATTAGTAAAAGAGATTGATATGGTGTTTTTAAATGGCAATATATCAGCATATGAAGATATTGGGATATTTTAATGGATCAATATTTTTTCCCTCGTCTTTAGAAGTTTTTAAGTCTGTAAAAAAGAAGTTTTTGAGGAAGAAGAAGAAGAAGAAGTATATATATATATATATTTTTTTTTAGACTTTAGAAACTCAGAAGCTGATCAAATATCAGGTTAAATATCGGTGGGGGGGCCGATGTCCGATATTCAGTTTTAAGGCCGATACCGATAGGGGGCCGATTATATCGTGCATCCCTAATATATATATATATATATATATATATATAAATATATATATATATATATATATATATATATATATATATATATATATATATATATATATATATATATATATATATATATATATATATATATATATATATATATAGATAGATAGATAGATAGATAGATAGATAGATAGATAGATAGATAGATAGACTCATCTATCTATATATATATACTGAGTCTGGTTCTGCTGGAGGTTTCTTCTTGTTAAACCTCAGTTTTTCCTCTCCACTTTCGCTACAAGCATGCTTAGTGTGAGGGATTGCTGAAGAGTCAATGAGTCGATGCAATCAACTGCTTTTCCTTAGATAGAAAACTTTGAATCAATCTGACTGGATGATCTGGTTGAATTGTAAAGTGCCTTGAGATGACATGTCGTAAATTGTTACTATATAAATAAACTGAATTTAATTGAATTACACTACAGCCAATCCTTATAGATGCAGCTCTTAGAAAAACCTGTGCAGATCTATATAAAGAGCTGTTTCTGTCATTAAAACTCCCGTTCATACATTACAAATACAATCTTAACACAAATTCCATGCAAAGCCAGAGACTGTGAACCTCTGCTAGCATACACTGCGCCTATTTGCAAGGCATTTATTTAAAATTTTTTGCCATGGCCGAAGTGTTGGCAGTGAATAGAAATCTGATGTGAACACAGGCAAATGTACAAATGTTCAGTGCCAACCTGACAGAAAAAGAGGCATGTGTTGCTCAACACTGACTTGTGATGTGTCTGGCCACATGCAAATGAATTGTCATTTGAAGAGGAAACGTGCAAACATTTGACAAAGAAATATGACACAGCTGCCATCTGGACTCTCTCTGTAAAGACATGGTCAATATTTACAGATTCTCAAGAAATAAAACACACACAAACAACAACATAGTGCTGTTTATCAATAGATGAATCATATCTTCAGTTTTTCTGAAGGTCTGTCCAGATTACCACTGAAACCTATTTTTAAAGAACTTACTAGCTAAATGTGTGATTAGAAAATTAACAGAAAAATACAATGCTTCTTTTTAACCCCTGCATACTATCTTGAATTTCCTCTAAGACAGTAATTAAGAGTAAAAAAAAAAAAACTCAGTGCATTTAGGCATGTAGACATGGTCAAGACAATCTCCTGCAGTTCAAAGCGAGCATCAGTGTGGGGAAGAAAGGTGATTTGAGTGACTTTGAACGTGGCATGATTGTTGGTGCCAGAAGGGCTGGTCTGAGTATTTCAGAAACTGCTGATCTACTGGGATTTTCACGCACAACCATCTCTAGGGTTTACAGAGAATGGTCCGAAAAAGAAAAAACATCCAGTGAGCGGCAGTTCTGTGGGCGGAAATGCCTTGTTGATGCCAGAGGTCAGAGGAGAATGGCCAGACTGGTTGGAGCTGATAGAAGGGCAACAGTGACTCAAATAACCACCCGTTACAACCAAGGTGGGCAGAAGAGCATCTCTGAACGCACAGTACGTGGAACTTTGAGGCAGATGGGCTACAGCAGCAGAAGACCACACCGGGTGCCACTCCTTTCAGCTAAGAACAGGAATCTGAGGCTACAATTTGCACAAGCTCATGGAAATTGGACAATAGAAGATTGGAAAAACGTTGCCTGGTCTGATGAGTCTCGATTTCTGCTGCGACATTCGGATGGTAGGGTCAGAATTTGGCGTCTACAGCATGAAAGCATGGATCCATCCTGCCTTGTATCAACGGTTCAGGCAGGTGGTGGTGGTGTCATGGTGTGGGGAATATTTTCTTGGCACTCTTTGGGCCCCTTGGTACCAATTGAGCATCGTTGCAACGCCACAGCCTACCTGAGTATTGTTGCTGACCATGTCCATCCCTTTATGACCACAATGTACCCAACTTCTGATGGCTACTTTCAGCAGGATAATGCGCCATGTCATAAAGCTGGAATCATCTCAGACTGGTTTCTTGAACATGACAATGAGTTCACTGTACTCAAATGGCCTCCACAGTCACCAGATCTCAATCCAATAGAGCATTTTTGGGATGTGGTGGAACGGGAGATTCGCATCATGGATGTCCAGCCAACAAATCTGCGGCAACTGTGTGATGCCATCATGTCAATATGGACCAAACTCCCTGAGGAATGCTTCCAGCACCTTGTTGAATCTATGCCACCAAGAATTGAGGCAGTTCTGAAGGCAAAAGGGGGTCCAACCCGTTACTAGCATGGGGTACCTAATAAAGTGGCCGGTGAGTGTATTTGGTTGGTGATTAATAGCGTTGCTGATAGCCATAGTCTAAGTTACTAAATTGGTGAAAGACAACTGAATTTTTAACAGCCAGACTCAAAACATTAACTATAAATCCAGTTCTAGTTATTTAACAATTCATAAGCGTCTGGCAAACTCATAACAGAGCTAATGTTCTAACCACTAGGCCGCCACTCCCCACCAGGCAAATAGAGGACCCTAGGGTGCTATCCCATCTGCCCAATGACTTATAAAAAAGAAACATTTAATTAAATTAAATATAAAATGAAAATATTTTGAAACACATTGATATATTTTATTCAAATATGCAAGATAAATATTTAATCTTTAAGCAAGAGTAAAGCTTCATTTAATTTTCCGTCAGATTGGCAATTTATTTCTAGCCTGGGTGCCATTCCGAACGTAGTCCCGCCCACAAGGTTTGAGGTCGGGAAGTTCGATCTGGCTCTGCTCCATAGTAGCGCGAGTATGATAGCCCACTCTCTGGCGATCCAATCAAATTGTCAGGGCGGGCTTTATACGATGATGGACAGATGATCAACAGTAACGTAATCAACCACGTCACCAAAGCGCGCTTGGGTGACAACAACAATGGCTGCCGCTGGAGAGTTGAGGTGAGTAGATTCTGCTATTAGGTCTGTTCTAGAAGATATCGACAGCAAATTAATTTTAAAAGAGGAACAGAGAAACGCGATCAAGGCTCATCTTCTTATTCTAGGCGTGCAACTGCATGCTTTGATTTTTGTTGACAACAACTATGCGTCGCTTAACATACGTCACGCACTCCGTTGCTCTTATTAGTTGTAGGTCTATCCAATTGAGTGCAGAGGCATTTTTTTTCCTGGTTCGTTCGAAACACGCCCCATAATCACAGCTCTATGGAGCAGCATCAGACTCATTCTGACTAGAATTGAATAGGACTACGTCAGGCTAATTTATTTCCGCCCTAGGTCGCAAAAATGTTTACCAATTGACTCTCGTTAAAAGTTGTACATGTACAGTAGTTCTTCTGCAATACAGAAGTACAGGAGAACTCAGGGGACACTAGAGACGAGGTGACAGGAAGTGTTGTCACAGTTGTTGTGCTAGTGACTGACAGGCTGAGTCGCGGAAGGGAAGCCAACTTATCAAGACGACGGGAAATGAAACTGTTTGGACCTCATCAGCTGAATATCAAAATTAATCAGCAGTCCAACAGGCAGATGGAGAAGGTTTACTCTGTCTTTTTCCAGGACCTGGTTTAGCTGCAAGGCTTGGCTAACTGTATGGAGTGAGGCTAAGGCTTTATCCTGCTGCCTTGACTGTCTGCCTCAGGAACTGACCCAGCAAGGATCAAGACAGGTAGGACTGATTTAAAGCACTTTTTAGAGAAGGCAAATAAGAATAAACAATATGGAAGTCATACGGAAAATAATATAGTGTACTTTTTCTAGATGTTTGTTAATTTGCATAGTTGCTTGTAAATAAACACATTCTCAGAAAATGAATAGTTTGATATATAAAGAAATATATAAAGCCGACTAATAGCATTATCAAAATGGTACATTCTGGTCATTGTTTTAGGTCTGTGACACCATATTGGACCATAAAAAAAACAGATTTACCTTCACAAAGCCTGAGGAGGGCAGCATTATGTACAAAAAGTAAACCTGTACATGAAATTATGTTTAGTTTTTATAGAGTGTTTTTATGCTTTTTATTGTCAGCATTAATATAAATATACAGGTGTGATAACTCATTAATGATTGATTGGTTTTTGGTATATGTCTACTTTGAATTTATAGCCCCCTTGGAGAAAACTACACCAGCCACCACTGGTTTTATGGCTTGTTAAGATCTAGTTTGTATAATCTGGCTTTCATTTGCTTTGTTTTGAAAAGTGGTTCAACAGGTTAACGGAAAAGGATGAGGAGAGCAATAAATGATCCTCTGAATGCAAAAAGTCAAATGTCCCACTTCTCTGTGTGTATATATTACAGACGTAGAAGTGCAATAGCCTCAGCATGGCCTTCTAGATAAAAACGCACCATTTTCGTAGCCTCATGGTGGATAAAGAAGGTCTACCCACTGAAGATTACAGTTCGCAATGGTGTCTAACCCCTTGCTCACACTGGCTCCGGTGCGGTTACCGAGCCGACGGAGACCGCAACTCCTGCACACCCCCTCTCACACCGCCATTTTGACTACGGTGCGGTGCGGCTCTGCGGCTCCGGCAACAGGTCCGGAGATTTAACTCGCGAGAACAGAAGTTCACTTGAGTTCACGTAACTTCACGCGATAACACGGCCCAAATAAGGATATTTGTGAGAGCTTGTTGCGGAGGGCTCCGGCACGCCGCAAGGATAGCTTTCTTGCTGAATTTTCTGCAGCGCCGGAGTGTCTCGGTAACCGCAGCCGGACAGCTCAGCAGCCAGAGAGAGAGGTTTACGTCTTTTTAATGACTTGGAATCACTGCGGCGCCGCACCCACCGCACCGCAACGGTAAGACCGGAGTCGGTGTGAGTCGGGGGTTAGGGCTCCACAAGTGGTTATAAATCTCAGAGAAGTATAATTAACAGTCTGTGTTTTGAAGACTTGGAGTTGAAGCTGTCAGAAACCAAGTCTCCAAAAGCTAGGACTGATAGAAACGCTGTGGTAACAAGCAGCAATTCCATCTTAAAGGGAAAAGAAACCAATTAAAAGTTACATTTTCTTCATTATATTATCTAAATGGCTTTTAAAGTGAGAGAGTCACCATTTCTTCATGATATTTGTTCATTTTTATTTTTTTTTTCTATTAATTTTCACTTTTACCAGATTCAAATTATTTCTGTGACTATTCTGGATTTTACATGTGTATTCTATTATATTGTATTCTATTGTATTCTGTTATATGATTTTATTCCATTTTATTCTATTATTTCTGTTATGTTCTTTTCTATTTTATTCTTATTACTCACTGCGTTTTAATCCGGTGGCTCTTGGTCTGTAAAAACATGCTATTATCTTAATAATGAATAGATCTGAAAGTCACTTTATTCATGAGTCCATTAGATATTTTCCACTGCTTTTTAAATATATTCTGTTCTCTTTTTCATGATCTCGGCACTGATGACTGGCCTAATTGCTCACTCCATTCACCTATCTAACTCTGCCCAGTTGTTCATTATTGCTTATCTAATCCATGTGCTGCTGCTTCACTTTATATGGCTCAGTCCAAACCGTCGCAGCCATATTATGGAGACCGGTGGAGAGAGGGTTTTTAGCGTTCCGTAGTGTTTCTGATTTCCTGATCCCGACCGGTCTCCACTAAGCGTGCCCTGTCCCTGTCGGGTCTCCGTGGAGAGAGCGTTTGTTTAGAGTTCCATCATGTTCCTGATATCCTGTCCCGTCTGCCTCTCAACTACTGGGCCTGCCTGTTCCCATCTAAATGTTCTGCCTGAACTGTCTGTGGACTCTGAGCCCTCCACTTCTGATCTGTTTCCTTGACCTGGCTTGGACTGCTGCTTGTTCCCCAGGGCTGCACACTGGAAAAAATCCAAATCTACATAAGTCATTTTATCTTAAAATCAGTGCATTTGTTCTTAGATTGAGGAGGTAAAAGAGAGATTTTGTCAATGGAACAAGACAATTTACACTTAAAATAAGAAAACACAATTGCATTGTCTAATTTCAAGTGTATATCATCTAATTATCTTATTTTAAGTGCAAAAATACTCATCCTATTGGCAAACTATCTAACTTACCTACTCAAATTAAGGGTAAATACACTTAATTTAGGAAATTTTAACTTATTTCTAGATTGTTTTTCCAGTGCAGCATTTGGGACACTCTGGGCGGCGCCTGCTGCATCTCCTTGGCAGCTCACCAACTGGATCCCACCTCATTCTATGGGGATGGACTGAACTGTTAAATCAGGTTAGTGACTTAAATGGATAATTATCCTCCATCAGATTATCATGGTCAATAATCTGTCTCAAACCAGTGTTTCCAGTGATGGCCGGCGACCCACCCTAGCTACTAATACAGCTTTACATAAAGGCTTTGAATGATCCCACTGTCTGTCTTGCCTTGAATACTGGGTCCTTCTGTCCTGCTTCATGATACTCCTAGTGTTAGGTGGGTTTTCTCTGAACAAGATACTAAGGAAGGAAAGGTTTTGATACTTACTGGTACGTCCACATACTTTGAAGCAGCTTTTACCTTTGAAGGAAAGAAAGGAAATTGGGTAAGATCATCACACCAACTGTGAATCCACTTTAAAGAGCAACGACTACAATTGCAAGACTATATGGAGTGATTTGCTGAAGTGAACTAGCATCCATGACTTGTGGTGCATTAAGCTGCAAACGTGCACTCACTAATTCAATATTTTTTTCCTTTATGACATGAAAGATATCCAGCTGAGGTGTTAAGCTATTTCATGTTGAGAGAGAGCCTTCATAAAAGGTCAAACTGTACTACCTGAGTAACAAAGATGGCTCTGAATTCTGAAACCGCTTGAAATCATCAAAATTAAAAATGTTTAGTTAATAAAGAAGATGGAATAAGATCCAATAAGATCCTTTTACCAAGAGGTTTGTGAGGATTACATATGGAGATGTTGTTTTCAGAAAGTATCAGAGTGAAAGGAGAGGGGATATTCTACTTACTGTGAAAGAAAGGAAGGAAGAGAAGAGGGTTCCTTCGTCATATCTGGAGAGTTTAGATAACACACTCTCTAGAATAACCACAAACTGAAAGCAAAAGAAGAAACATGTCAAAAAAGGACACAAAACACCACTTAAAAGTCCATAATGCTAAACATTTTCTGCATGTAAAATAAGTAAATAGTACTTTTAATTCAAAAATTTGTTTGCATCTTAAAAGCTTTTTAGTTTTCTAGTTTTATTTATTTTCATTCCAATTTTGCTGTGTTTTCTACGGAAGAGGATTAGGGCCACTAAAAAAAAAAAGTTAACAGATTTTTTTAATTTTATTTCAGTATAGTATGGGGAAAAGTCAGAATTCTGAGATTAAAGTCAGAATTCTGAGATTAAAGTCAGAATTCTGACTTTTTTCCTATGTTAAACTGAAATAAATTTAAAAATCATTTAACTTTTTTTTTTTTCAGTGGCCCTAATCCTCTTCCGTAGTTTTCTGGATATATTTGAGTTCTTAGGCTTTTCTGTGTTTCCCTCTTGTGTTGGTTTCCTTTTCCTTAGCTCAGTTAGTCCTTCCTCTTACCTAGTCCGTCTCCCCTTGTCTCTCCTCTCCTTTTCCTGACTCCATTTGCTCCTTTCCCCTGATGTCTCCATGGCTCTGGTTAAGTTTTACATTTTATGTTGGATTTTGGATTCCTGCCTCTGTTACCTATGATGATTCATTAAAAACTGCAAGAACTCAGCCTCTACATTTGGGTCCTAAAACCTCAACCAAACCCTGACAATAAATACTAGATTTCTTTATACTTTTTCAATTTACAGTTATTGTGAAGGTTTACATATCCTCCTATTAAAGGAAATTATAAATTCGTACCAGTAATTTAAATAACAGAAAATTGAAAAAAGTAACAATAAATAAAAAATTGACCAAATTATACTATCATAAAATAAAATATCAAATTAGAATTCTTGTTTTAAGATAATAATTCTAAAGAAAAACAGTTTCAGACAAAATAAAGTACCTTGCTCATGAACATTGAACCAATCCTGGAAGTTACAGAAAACACCTGATTTAAACGATTACCGCCTCAACATGTTGCTCATCGAAATTTTACTTCAGGAGCTCCATCAGGCTGGTTTACTTATTTTCTTTTCTTATTTTATCTAAGTATATGCACTGCTTAAAACATCAAGGGAACGCTCAAATAACACATCTTATATCTGAATGAATGGAACATTTTCACTGAATACATTTTTCTGTACATGATCTCTCATCTAATATGTTTCTCTTCTTTAAAGGGATTCACCTTCATTGATTGATTATCAGCTTTCTAGGGGATTCAGATCTTGATAGATTTTAAGGAACTCCAGATCCTTGCAGCTGTACCCTGATGATGTGGTCCTAAAGAGCAGTGGAATGTGCCCTAACCTGATATCAGAGGTTTGATTGTGCTCTCAGAAACTGAACTAGCACTAGACACACACTCAATTAAGGAAGCTATTATTTACTCTGGGCCAAAAAAGGAAGGCGGGCCAAAAACCTCAACAGTGTCCCTTTCCCCTTCATTACATTTGGGTGTAAAAGTACACTATATTGCCAAAAGTATTTGCTCACCTGCCTTGACTCACATATGAGCTTAAGTGACATCCCGTTCCTAATCCATAGGGTTCAATATGACGTCGGTCCACCCTTTGCAGCTAGAACAGCTTCAACTCTTCTGGGAAGGCTGTCCACAAGGTTTAGGAGTGTGTTTATGGGAATTTTTGACCATTCTTCCAGAAGCGCATTTGTGAGGTCGCACACTGATGTTGGACGAGAAGGCCTGGCTCTCAGTCTCCGCTCTAATTCATCCCAAAGGTCAGGACTCTGTGCAGGCCAGTCAAGTTCATCCACACCAGACTCTGTCATCCATGTCTTTATGGACCTTGCTTTGTGCACTGGTGCACAGTCATGTTGGAAGAGGAAGGGGCCAGCTCCAAACTGTTCCCACAAAGTTGGGAGCATGGAATTGTCCAAAATGTCTTGGTATGCTGAAGCATTCAGAGTTCCTTTCACTGGAACTAAGGGGCCAAGCCCAGCTCCTGAAAAACAACCCCACACCATAATCCCCCCTCCACCAAACTTTACACTTGGCACAATGCAGTCAGACAAGTACCGTTCTCCTGGCAACCGCCAAACCCAGACCCGTCCATCAGATTGCCAGATGGAGAAGCGCGATTCGTCACTCCAGAGAACGCGTCTCCACTGCTCTAGAGTCCAGTGGCGGCGTGCTTTACACCACCGCATCCGACGCTTTGCATTGCACTTGGTGATGTATGGCTTGGATGCAGCTGCTCGACCATGGAAACCCATTCCATGAAGCTCTCTGCGCACTGTTCTTGAGCTAATCTGAAGGCCACATGAAGTTTGGAGGTCTGTAGTGATTGACTCTGCAGAAAGTTGGCGACCTCTTCGCACTATGCGCGTCAGCATCCGCTGACCCCGCTCCGTCAGTTTACGTGGCCTACCACTTCGTGGCTGAGTTGCTGTCGTTCCCAAACACTTCCATTTTCTTATAATACAGCTGACAGTTGACTGTGGAATATTTAGGAGCGAGGAAATTTCACGACTGGATTTGTTGCACAGGTGGCATCCTATCACAGTTCCACGCTGGAATTCACTGAGCTCCTGAGAGCGACCCATTCTTTCACAAATGTTTGTAAAAACAGTCTGCATGCCTAGGTGCTTGAATTTATACACCTGTGGCCATGGAAGTGATTGGAACACCTGATTCCAATAATTTGGATGGGTGAGCAAATACTTTTGGCAATATAGTGTATATCTGGAAGTTCGTTACCTTTGCAACTAAAATAGTAATCATCTCCTTCACTGTCTCCTCAATCAGATGGTCAATCTGGGAGTGGTATTGTCTCTATAGAAAAAGACAAAGTATTAGATTTTTTATTAACATACAAAGGAAAAATAGACAACTTTCCATGTTTCTAAATCCATCCATCCATCCATCCATCCATCCATCTTGTCCACCACCATCCCCCTATCCATCTATCATCATCAAATCCAGCATCCATCATCCATCCATCAATCATTCATCCATCCATCATCCATAATCCACCCATCCATCAATTCATCAAATCTTCTATTCATCCATCCATCCATCCATCCATCCATCCATCCATCCATCCATCTTGTCCACCACCATCCCCCTATCCATCTATCATCATCAAATCCAGCATCCATCATCCATCCATCAATCATTCATCCATCCATCATCCATCCATCAATCATTCATCCATCCATCATCCATAATCCACCCATCCATCAATTCATCAGACCTTCTATTCATCCATCCATCTGACATCCATCCAGCCATCAAATATCAATCGTCCACCCGTCCATCCATCCGTCCACTCCTCCATCTATCCATCCTTTGTTCATCCATCCTTCATCCATCCATGAACCATTGATCAATCATCCATCCATTTATCAAACCATCCATCATCGATGCATCAATCTAACCATCCATCCATCTATCTGTTCATCCATCCATACATCCACTGATGAACCACCAATCAACCATCCATCATCCATCTTAAATCCTCTGTTTTACCTTCTACATCCAGATCCAGTTATAACACTTTGAATGATGCACGATTAAGATTTCTTTCTTGGAAGATTACTTTACAAATAAAGGTACAATGGAGGGAAGGAACAACAAAAACGTGATCTAGAAAGGAATTTACAGTGAGGAAAATAAGTATTTGATCGCCCTGCTATTTTGCAAGTTCTCCCATTTTGAAATCATGGAGCCGTCTTCTTAGGGCATGTCCACTGCGAAAGAAATAATCTGCACCCTTTTGAGGTCATTGGCTGCTTAAAGACACCTGTCCACCCCATACAATAAGTAAGAATTCAACTACTATGACCAAGACCAAAGAGCTGTCCAAAGAGACTAGAGACAAAATGGTACACCTCCACCTGGCTGGAAAGGGCTGTGGGGAAATTGACAAGCAGCTGAGTGAAAAAATGTCCACTGTTGGAGCAATCATATCCTTCGGACTGGGGCTCCATGGAAAATATCACCTCGTGGGGTCCTACGAAAGGTGAGAAATCAACCCAGAACTATAAGGGAGAACCTGGGACCAACGTTTCCAAGGTTACTGTTGGTAATACTCATGGTTTCAAAATCCTGTATGGCACGGAAGGTTCCCGTTAAACCAATGCATGTCAAGGCTCATCTTAAGTTTGCCAATGACCATTAGGATGATCCAGAGAAGTCATTTGAGAAAGTCAGATGAGACCAAGATAAAAATTTTTGGTCATAATTCCACTAACTGTGTTTGGAGGAAGAAGAATGATCCCTTCCCTAATGTGAAGCATGGGGTTGGCAGCATCATGCTTTGACTCTTAAGACTCTCAAAGTAAGCAGTTGCATTTTCCCAATGCTGTTATCTTGCTTATCTGTGTGTTGTCTATTCTGAGCCCCTTCTTCATATAATATTATTTCTGAATAAAATTTTGTAAAAATTAAAGGGGTCATACCGTAAAAATTCAAAATATCCACTGGACTTGGTTTTCAAGATTTGAAGACGTTTCGCCACCTCTCCAGGAAGCTTTCTCAATTCAAATGTCTGGATCCGCAGTGAGTTTGAGTCTTATATGGACAAAGCCTTGTATCGCTTGGAAACATGCAATAGAAACCGATGAATGAGTCGTTAGTTCCATCGTTAGCCTGTAATACCTGAACCTGTCTATGATTCTAGGGGTCGGTCGTTAAAGGGGGGATTGTCATTAAGGGGGGGATTGTCTCCTGTAATACCTGAAACCTGTCTATGATTGTTAAGGGTCGGTCGTTAAGGAGGTATTGTTCACCGGGTGGAGCGGGTAGGTCCCTCGTTCCTCTGTGATGGGGTGGGGGGTTTGGTGATATCTGGAAGGGATCATGTCTATGATTGAATTGTATGTTTTTGGAAGCTGGAATCCACCACCTCTGTTTAAAGTTGGTTTTTCTCTCTTAACATAGATGGCTTCCTTCACGCCCCTCTCAAACCACCTATTTTCTTTATCCAGAATATGGACATTCTGGTCCTCAAAAGAATGTCCTTTGTCCACAAGGTGTAGGTGTACTGCGGAGTCTTGTCCAGAGGTGGCCGCTCTTCTGTGTTGGGCCATGCGTCTGTGGAGAGGTTGTTTGGTTTCTCCAATATAAAGATCAGAGCATTCCTCACTGCACTGAACAGCATATACCACTCCGCTCAGATTAGGTCTGGGGGTTTTATCTTTCGGATGCACTAGCCTCTGTTTAAGGGTTTGGTTTGGCTGGAAATGTACTGGGATCTTGTGTTTGGAGAAAATCCTCTTGAGCTTTTCAGACACTCCAGCAACATAAGGGATTGTGATGTTTTTGCGTTTAATTTTCCCATCGCTGTCTTCTGTTGCGTGTCTTTTGGATTTCCTTGCTGATTTGATAAAAGCCCAGTTTGGATATCCACAGTTTCGGAGAGCATCTTTGATGTGTTTCTGTTCTTTTTGCTTCCCATCTGTTTTAGTGGGGACATGTTCTGCCCGGTGTTGTAAGGTTCTGATGACTGAGAGTTTGTGTTCCAGTGGGTGGTGTGAGTCAAAAAGAAGATACTGGTCTGTGTGAGTAGGTTTCCTATAAACTTCAATGTTTAGGCTTCCATCTCCTTCCATGCTCACCAGGCAGTCCAGAAAGGGTAGTTTGTTGTCCTTGGCATCCTCTCTGGTGAATTTGATGTTGCGGTCAACAGAGTTGATGTGTTTGGTGAAAGCTTCCACTTCCTCTAGCTGGATTTTGACGAAAGTGTCATCCACGTATCTAAACCAGTGGCTTGGTGGTATTCCATTGAAAGTGTCTAAAGCTCTCTTTTCCATTTCTTCCATGTAAAGATTTGCTACAATTGGTGATACTGGAGATCCCATTGCGCAGCCATGTTTCTGTCTGTAAAAATTACCTCTGAATTTGAAATAGGTTGTGGAAAGACAAAGGCCCAGTAGTGTGCAGATCTGGTCCGGAGTGAAATTAGTCCTGTTGTTTAAATCACTATCTTGTTCAAGACGTGTCCTGACTGTTTTCACTGCCTCTGTTATAGGTATGCATGTGAAAAGTGAAGTAACATCAAACGATACCAGGGTTTCTCCTGGAGCCATCCTTAAATGTTTGGCTTTGTTGGCAAAGTCTTTGGAGTTTTCTATGTGATGTGGTGTGTTCCCCACCAAGGGAGCTAAGATATTAGTAAGCTGTTTAGCAATGTTGTATGTTACTGAGTTAATGCTGCTGACAATGGGCCTGAGTGGTGCCCCTTCTTTGTGAATTTTTGGAAGTCCATATAAGCATGGAATTTCCTCCCCTGGATATAATCTGAAATAGGCTGTGCTGTTAATTACCTTGTCTTTTTCAAGTTGTTTGAGATAGTCTATTATTTTCTTTTTGTAGCCGCTGGTTGGATCTCTTTTCAAGGATTCATACGTATCAGTGTCCTTCAGTAGAATGATAATTTTGTCTTGGTAGTCTGAGGTGTTGAGGACTACGGTGCATCTTCCTTTGTCTGCTGGTAATATGGTGATGCTTTGGTCCTGGCTCAGGGATGTTATGGCTTTCATTTCCTGGGGTGTGAGGTTGGAAGGAGGTGGTTTGGCGCTGGACAGGGTGGCTGTTACCTTCATTCTGAGTTGCTCTGCCTCCGTTTCAGCCAGGTTGTTGTTCCTGATGGCCGATTCAGTGGTCGTGATCAGTTCCACAATGGGTACTTCTTGTGGAGCAATGGCAAAATTCAGGCCTTTACTCAGTACATCCATCTCTGGTTTTGTCAGTGGTCTGCTAGATAGGTTTTTTACCCACTTGTCTTCAACCTTGATGTTATCCTCCTGAGTCATGTTGCTCTCTTGTTTAAATGCTGCTTTCTGTTGTAATCTTTTGAATTTGGCTTTTTGTCTTTCTTTTGTTTTATGATGTTGTGAAAGCTTGACTTTATTGACCAAAATGGCAACTTCTTCAAACAAGGTTTCGGGGAGAAGTTTGGATAGCTTCTGCCTTGTCTGATCTATTTTGTGCGAGATAGCTTCAATTGTGAAGTGAGTCTGTCTAATCCTCTCACTAAGCAGCTTTTTGTGCGCATTCCTAAGAATCTCTTCTGCCCTGTGTCCTTTGATAGTAGACTTCAGTCTTAGACTGTTGGGAATGAGACCTTGCTGTCTACATCTTAAATTGAAACGTAGATGATTCCTATAATCTGCAAGTTTCCTAAGCAATTTCTCGTACTCACGCGTTATTCCGAGGGTGTCTTTCCCAAAATGGAGTGCAATATGCTGATGAAGGTACCCAGTGGATATTTTTTGAATTTTTACGGAATGACTATGACCTGGATGACTGAGAACCTTCATCAGCATAAAGGGGTCATAGAATGATTCTATCGGGTATCTGGTCCTTCAGGTCTCTAATAGGGTGTGTAACATTGGTTGGGCTGAAAATGGAATATTTGCTGTTCTATAAGCAATAATGCAGCCTGATTAAGAGCTGTATAATGAAACAACAGGTTTTCTTCCTTTTATGGTATGCTCATGAATATTTAGATGAGCTGTGTGCTGATTGGTTTGTTTACAACGAGCCAAGCTGCTGAGCAAAGACGCATCATAGCAACAAGCACTCACTCACTGAAACATTGAAATTGTTTATATGGTAGGGGGACCGGAAGTCCTCCTTTTCCCGGACATATCCTACTTTTCAAACCTAAAACTACAAAGCCCCTCTGATGACATGGTCAAAAAAAAATTTTAATTGTGGCCACGAAGTAGTATTTCGCGGCCATGCAATAACTTTAACGTGCGCACGAAATACTTATTAATAATATCAATAAATCCGCCCCTGTTTTCAGGCTTATGTTAACTGTAATGACTTATCTTGGACAGGCTGCTATGTAAACGGGCCTTTAGTCCTTCGTTTAGCTAGGCTGCGGTTGTTTACACTACGCCTTTTCCACCTAAAATGGCATCTTAGCAACAAATGTCACGTGACTGGCGGAGACCGACTGGGTAAGCAAATCGATTTGCTTACCCAGTTGTCCAGGAATGATATTAATATTATTAAAAAGTATTTCATTATACTTATTGCGTGGCCACAAAATACTACTTCGTGGCCACAATAAAAAATTTTTTTGACCATGTCATCAAAGGGGCTCCGTATAAAACAACTGTCTGGGGAGAATTCAAAAATACCTCCCGGAACTTCTGGGAGACTTGGGATGTCTCTTACTTCTGTTACCCCCAGCCTCCCTCCTCCGACTGAGGACGGGCGGCAACCAAATAAGGCAACATCCCCGAGTTTACGTCAACTCGGTGCTTCGTTTGAATTCGCCTGTTTTATGGTGGAAGTTTAAAATTGTGAGATTTGCTAAAAAAAGAGGTTTTGATGGGGTTTGAACTTCTCTGTACGTCCGTTTCATCTACTGAACTATCGTTATTCATCTATGACAATGGAAACTCTGTGTCGTATTTTATGACCCCTTTAAAAAAGGACACAATAATCGAGAAAAGTTTTCATTTACATACTCGCAATCATTGGATATATAAACTGTGGGTGAGTTCACGCCGATGACAGGAAAAATATAAATAGGGAGAAATCAAAGGATAACAAATGCATTTCATGAAATGAATGGAGAAAGTGAATTACGTAACCTGTTGTTACTTATAAATCACGATAAAAAAACAGTAAAGGACTTAAAATATTTCCACAAAAAGAATATCCTCTCGTGGAGAGTGGCAGAAATACTGTAAGATGGTTTCTTTCTTCTCACAAAACAGTGAATGATTTAGCAATAATAAATTCATTGTCAGTAATTAGTATCAGTCTGGAAATTGTGCAAAACATGAGATCTCTCACTTTCATCCCATGTATATTCAATACCATCTACACATATGGTAATGAAATCCAAACAATTCAAGTGAAGGATGACAGACAGTGAAAACTGATGACTAATTATGCATTTGAGAATTAATGGGGGCCCGGGTGTAGGAAGGATTGCGTGACTTGGGAATTTAATTTGGATGTTAGTCACACTTACCCATTGTCTAACAAACTCCAAAAGGTTGATAGGGATGAAACAAAGAAAATAAGGTGGCAAAAGAAAATGATGAAAATGATGTAGTTTGAATTTACAAATAAAGCTTAAAAGGAAAGCATGTCATACACAACAGAGCAAAAAGAAATTTACACCCTTGCTTTCATATACGCTGCGACCACATCAGCATCAGTTCTTTAGATTGGGCCACATATTATGTGTAAAGTGTACCAAAAAGAAAGAGGAAAGTTCCCCTTTACCTCTTGACTTAGGTCCACAACACACAGTTTGGCTGACTGAGACTTGGCATCCACCATGACATTAAACATGGTGCAGATCGACTGGGGGACTCGGAAATCTGTGGTTCGACTGCTTCTCTGCAGCTTGGCCTCAAATGCTGCCCGTGTTCTTAAGAGAAAAGAAGAATTGAAAAATGTCAAAGCCATCAAAAAAGATTACAACTATGTGGGGTTTTTGGGGTGGGTGGTTGGCGGGTGGGGGGATGGGTGCGTGAGGTGGGGTTCTGGGGGGGGTGCAGTAATTCTTAAGGTAACTCATGAGACATTACAGATGCATAGTCACTTTACATGCCTATACAAAAACAACCAGAACCTTTTGATCATGATAAAATGAGGTCATATAGAGCAGGTGTCCTTACTGTTTTGATAGCCGTTTTTTAACTCTCAAAGAGCATGTAAAGTATAGATAAATTGTATGTTTTTGCGTTTTTTACACATAAGAAATATGTAAAAATATACAGCTAGGTCCACTGAAACTTTTTTTGTTGCAACAATTTAAACGAAAAATATGATGAATGTTATATTCATATTCATATTTTTATTTAAGGTGGAATCAGTGGAAGCTTCGTGCATGTGTGACTCATGTTTAATGGGGAAACAGACAAGAGTCACCCTGATCTCTGACTGCTGGCAAGCTGCAGCTGCTGCGTCAGAGTCCCTGTTTTAAAGTAGGGAGGGGCTGGCTTATTATGCAAACAATATTAGCTGCTAGCATGGTAAGCAAGTGCTCTGTGCTCTATGCATAGTCAACAAAGTCGCCAACAACACAGGAAAAAGTTGCTTGATTTGTTGCTGGTAGCTTTTTTTAAGAAAACAATCCATCAAGGGCTTTTAATAGGCATTAAATATAATAGGCATTATATATAGCATTGGTAACTTAAATGGTACGAATGCACGCCTTCTTATTCTACTTGGCCAGCAGGGGGCAGGCCTTCGCTACAGATAGCTGCATGGTGATGTAAGGCCACACTTTTAGACACAGATTGCAAAGATAAGATGGCTCTTTACACCTGTTGAACAATATATTTATGAAATTTATGAGGTGTTGCGCAAATAATTGGGGAATAATCTTTAGACCTTCTTTATTGGATATCAGCACACAGCATAATGAGCTGACATAAAAAACAAATGTGTGCCATCTGCTGGAAAAAGCCAGTTCTAGGATCTCCTCTAGAACCTCTGGAGATTATATTACAAAGACGGATTTTTTTAATAAAAATTAAGTGTTATGGATAAATGTAAGCATTGTCTTCAGAAGACTGTTAAACACCAACAGACTGTCTTCAGTCAGAGAATTCTCCTGAACCAGTGCAAGACAGACAGCTAAAATCTGAAACAACTTGTTGGAAAAAAACCAGTAAGTAAAAAAAAGACATTCAATTTCCCTTTGGGATTATTAAAAGTGTTTTTGAATGGAATTGAATAATGGGACTATGCACCATTGAAGACATTGTTATAACAGTTTTGTAAACTTGTATTTAGCATTTTTCAAACAGATTTAATAATCCATATTGGAATAATAGTTACCGTTTTATACACGACTCTATCATGTCGCTAGACATCAGCTTCAGTCTGGTTTCCAGGTGTTTGCCGAACTCTTCTTCAGGCCAGTGTAGATCCTTAATGAATGTTTGTAGAGCATCCAGCTTCCAGAAGAGGTCCTCTGAAGTTGCAGAACCATTACTACCGAACCACAAATTACAATCATGTAAACCAAAGCCTTTAAACTGAAATACAATTTAAAAAAAGCTTATGTGGATAGATCAGGGTTGATCAAATTAAATGCGTTCTTGCGGTATATTAATATACAGTACATTTTATCTGTAATTGTAATTATATCTGGTATTTTCAATGTGGAAAAAAGCTAATTGAAAGAGATTCGTTAACAATGCATAATTAAACATCTTCATGCCATTCAAAAATGAATACAGCTTTAAAATTTAGGGAAATACAAATAAAATTGTGAATAAAGCAGAATCATAAAAATCATTCAAAAGATTAAGCCATGCTGGATAAAAGTGTGAGAACATTCTTGGTTCTGTTAGGTTTTCTTTTGAGTATTCAGTTTAACTTTGCTCCATGTTTTCTAGTTTTATTGGTTTGATTCTTATTTTGTTTTGTTTCTGATTACGTTTCACTTCTTAGGTTTTTATCTGTTACCCTCTTGTGTTGGTCTCCTTTTCCCCTAGCTCCTTAGACTGCTCTCTTCTACTCGTTAGTCCTCTCTTTGTTCAGTTAACCATAAATGCTCTCCTTGTGCAGTTCCTCAGTGCTGGTTCCTCATCTAACTTCGTCTAACTCCGTCTTACTGTCTTACCTCATCGTGATTGTTTTCCCCTGAAGTCTCCATGGTTCTGGTTTGTTTTCCTTTTTTCATGTTTGATTTGTTGGATTCCTGCCTGCCAGTTGTTTATGAACCTTTCATTAAATTTACAAAACTCACCTCTGCCTTCCTGCCTCTGCATTTGGGTCCTCAACGACAACCAATCATTGACAGAAGGAACCAGCCAACATAGACCCAGCAGAGCCACCTCAGGTTAAGGCAAGTGAACTTATAAAACTCCTAATCCAAACAATAGATTACCTTTCCACTGTCTCTCCACCTTGGCAATAGGTTATGACTACAGAAGGAGTACTAAGGAAACTTCAACAGTATCCAGAGCTCCAAGCCTTCTTCCTTCAGCCAGGATACATAGGCTTAGTAGAGTGGAACATACAGGATGCCATCTCTCAGCTACTCAAAAGACCTCCACCACCCAAACCATCACTCTGTGACATTCAAACTCAGCAGTCAATCACCTCCGACCCTGTACCTCCAACATCTCCAGCTCTTGGTCTTCCCCTGCCATCTGCTTCCACCAGGTGAAAACGCCGCCAGGGGAAGAAGACCACTTCCTCTCCGACGGGTCAGCCTGACGCCTCCAACTCCTCTCTGGCGGGCCAGCCTGATGCCTCCACTCCCTCTCCGGCAGGTCAGAGCCAGAGCCCTTTAGCGTTCCACATCCCGAGCAAGAGCCCTTTGGTGGGCCAGATCCCCTAGCCCTACAGCTCATTAATGGGCCAGATCCCCTAGTGCCAGAGCCCATTAGTGGACCAGATCCCCTAGCACCAGAGACCATTAGTAGGCCAGATCCCCTAGCACCAGAGATCATTAGAGGGCAAGATCCCCTAGCACCAGAGACCATTAGTAGGCCAGATCCCCTAGCGCCAGGGTCCATTAGTGGACCAGATCCCCTAGCGCCAGAGTCCATTAGTGGACCAGATCCCCTAGCGCCAGAGTCCATTAGTGGACCAGATCCCCTAGCGCCAGAGTCCATTAGTGGACCAGATCCCCTAGCACCAGAGATCATTAGTAGGCCAGATCCCCTAGCGCCAGAGTCCATTAGTGGACCAGATCCCCTAGCACCAGAGATCATTAGAGGGCAAGATCCCCTAGTGCCAGAGCCCATTGGTGGACCAGATCCCCTAGCACCAGAGACCATTAGTAGGCCAGATCCCCTAGTGCCAGAGCCCATTAGTGGACCAGATCCCCTAGCACCAGAGACCATTAGTAGGCCAGATCCCCTAGTGCCAGAGCCCATTAGTGGACCAGATCCCCTAGCGCCAGAGTCCATTAGTGGACCAAATCCCCTAGCCCCACAGCTCATTAATGGGCCAGATCCCCTAGCACCACAGACCATTAGTAGGCCAGATCCCCTAGCGCCAGAGTCCATTAGTGGACCAGATCCCCTAGCCCCACAGCTCATTAATGGACCAGATCCCCTAGCACCAGAGACCATTAGTAGGCCAGATCCCCTAGCCCCACAGCTCATTAATGGGCCAGATCCCCTAGCGCCAGAGCCCATTAGTGGACCAGATCCCCTAGCACCAGAGACCATTAATAGGCCAGATCCCCTAGTGCCAAAGCCCTCTAGCGGGCCAGAGCTCTTTAGCGGGCCAGATTTCGAGTCAGGGACCATTAGCAGGCCATATCTAGTGCCCATTAGTGAGCTTAAGACCCCTAAGCTAGCTCTGTGCCGTCCAGAGACGGCAGGTGCTCCAAGCCTCCAAGAGCTTATTCCTGAGCCACAGTAAGCGGCCCCCTCCGAGGTTCCTGAGCAGCAGTCTGCGTCCCCCGAGGCTGCTGGTGCACCCTCGAGAGGCCCTCCTTTGTCGCCAGCCCCACGGCCGCCCGCCAGAGACCCTGTCCCATCTCTGGCCCCACAGATGGCCTCCAGAGACTCTGCTTTGTCTCCGGCCTCGTCCCGTTTCGGTTGCCCTCACCCATGTTTGGTCGGTTGTTTTGATTTTTAGACTCTGTTTTTTGGTTTCATCTTTAATTTTTTGGATTCCTGCCTCAGTTGTTTATGAACCTTTCATTAAATCTACAAAAACTCACCTCTGCCTTCATGCCTCTGCATTTGGGTCCTCAACCAATCCTTGACACTTTTATTTATTTCATAGGATCAATCATACATAAAGGGCTTTAGTTGCGCTTGCTGTGGCCTGCGCATTAAAAAGACATTATGCAGAATGTTGTGTTGATTGATGGTAAATATTAAGCAGGTTGCACCTCTTTCCTTCACCAGTAGTTTTTATTGACTGTCTTTCTTCCTCTGCTGGATATGTTTTGACACCACTTTCAGATCAAAGGTTTTTTTTATTATCATAACCTATTATCATAATTCTTATTCTTTATTTTTCATTCTGCAAACACGGCATGTACAGCTGTTGTGATTTATTTCCCACTTCTTGGGTTTACTGGTCCTTAATTTATGTTGCTCAGCTCTAGTATAGATATACAGCTGCACTAACAGAACCATGGCCTAGATTGCTAATATGTAGAAAAAAAGTTATGGGTCCTGAGACGGACTCTTGTGGAAAACCTCTAGCCTTGATGTCCGACCACAAGATTAGACAATCTTCAAACCCAACCACGTCGCATACTTTGGATGGATCTATAAAGGGACGCAGAATTGTTGTTACTATAAACAATACAGTCTCACTCCAAACTCGTCCCATTATGACTCTTGGTCAAGTCCCCAGTGTATCAGATGCTGACCAGTAGGGATACCCCTCTCTTCAGTAATTTACAGGCTGTAGCAGGAACTTCTAAAGAAGTTTCCATGAGCTGGTAAGTAAAAACGTACAACAAAACCTTCCCTAAGGGGTAATCTAATGTCACAGCTCAGATAATACAAGATGGCGGTGCCCTTGTTTTAAAGAACATAAACACTACTACATATTTTTGTTCTTACAACAATAAATTTCATGTTTGTCATGTAATTTTTGGTGAGGGGAGTGGCGGCATAGTTGTAAAGGCATTGCGTTTGGAATCCAGAGGTTTTGAGTTTAAGCCCCACTCCCACAGACTGCCACTCTGGGTCCCTCAACGAAGACCCTTAACCCCACACTGCTCCCTGGGCGCCACACTATGGCCTTGCTCCCCAAGGGGATGGGTTAAATGCAGAAAGTGAATTTTGTTGCTGTTCTTGTGACAGTGTAATGACAATAAAAAAAACCTCTTAACCTAAAGAAACAGTATGTATATATTTCTGTTACCACTCACTTCTAAAAGTACCAAACTAACTTTGTAGGCTGAAGTTCAATTGTTCTTTTTGCCGCAGGTCACGTGATACACTGTCCACAACCTGTCATTCACTCTGCGCGTTAAATAGTGATGCAAGTTGTACCCCATTGACCAAGCGTCAATGTGTGACGAGTTGGGAATGAGAATGTGTTACTATAAAGAACTTCACAAATATTATTTATGACCTTTAGAGAATTATTAATTGCATCATGTTTTTTCTAAGCGTGATACGATATTCAAATATGAATAATCCTTAATCTGTTCGTTTATTATGTTTTCAAAGAAAATCGAGTATTTTAGCAAAAATACTCGATTTTGAAATAGTTTGTGATTATTCAATATGGTCATATCTTCATCTTTTCATTAAAGTAAAACAAAGGCAGATTTTAAAATGTTATGGATATTGTTTGGTTGAATGGATACATTGAAAATATTTGTCATTGGTGTATCAATGATGTCAGCAGCAAAAGGCAAATGTACATCTGCACAATACTGTGTCTTAAGACATGTCTACCTCCTCAGCATGTTTGCAACCTCTCGTTATAGTGACCCACCGTCAGAGTGTAATGGCCGGTCAGCAGTTATAAACAGTGAAGTTAAAGACACTCTGAGCAGCTTTAGCCTGTAGTCTGTTTGCCAGACTCCAAAGGACTGATTCTGCTGACAATCTATGCCACCTTGTCAGATTGTCCTTACCGTAAGGCACCAGCATCAAACTGCTTCCAGAAAGGGTCATGTGGCTGCAGGTTTTCTTTCCAAGAAAACAATAGCACACCAGATTCCAGTCATATCATCAAGTCATCATGTTCAGATTGGACTCCCTTGATGAGATGACTGGAGTCTGGTGTGGTATTGCTTGGTTGGAAAGAAAACCTGCAGCCACACGGCCCTTTCTGGAACCAGAAAGCTGTAAGGTGTTCAGATAGCGTTATCTATCTGCTACCTCTCATGTAACATCAGTTTGCACATGCACATTGCCACAAGGTAAGCCAGGATAGAGAGAAAACTAGAATAAGGAAAGGGATTTGGACGCTCATTTGGCCTTTCGGCATTTTCTTCCATCATATAAAATTTCTGACGTGTCTAACTCTTGTGAGGTAAAAGACCCATTTACACAACCTTATTGAAACCGTGCCAAGATTGGTCCGAGCATGGTAACCGAGATAACTGTAATGTAGTGTAAATGGCACGCACAACTAAACTAGACCACGCCAGACATAACCGAACCACTCAAAACTGTACTAGTTCATCAGTAGGGCCTGCCGCGGTTCACTTCTGGCTCGGTTCTCCGAGAACAACGAGCGCATTAGCAGACCGTGTCATCTCCTTACAGTAAGCCTCTGTAATCATGAAATTTCAGACATTCCTAAAAATACTAGCCTGCCTACAGTGCCACTCGATTTCCAATGATGATTCTGCTTAGCAGTGTGATGAACCTCAACATCTGTCATTGTTTCCTATCGTTTGTCGCATCCACTAGCCTGGGTGCCATTCCGAACTTAGTCCCGCAAAAAAGGTTTGAGGTCGGGAAGTTCGGTCTGGCATTGCTCCATAGTAGCGCGAGTATGATCGCTCACTCTCTGGTGATCCAATCAAATTGTCAGGGCGGGCTTTATACGATGATGGACAGATGATCAACAGTAACGTAATCAACCACGTCACCAAAGCGCGCTAGGGTGACAACAACAATGGCTGCCGCTGGAGAGTTTAGGTGAGTAGATTCTGCTATTAGGTCTGTTCTAGAAGATATCGGCAGCAAATTAATTTTAAAAGAGGAACAGAGAAACGCGATCAAGGATCATCTTCTTATTCTAGGCGTGCAACTGCACACTTTGATTTTTGTTGACAACAACTATGCGTCGCTTAACATACGTCCCGCACTCCGTTGCTCTTATTGGTTGTAGGTCTATCCAATTGAGTGCAGAGGCATTTTTTTTCCTGTTTCGTTCAAAACACGCCCCATAATCACAGCTCTATGGAGCAGCATCAGACTCATTCTGACTAGAATTGAGTCGGACTACGTCAGGCTAAGCATCCACCCCCCAAAAGCGACTTTGTCATGTAAATTCACCAAAGGCTGCCTTTTTTGCCTCACTCTCCGCAAACAACGACATATCACAATTATAACCAAACTTCCTGTCACCGTGGTGATTTGCTTGTTTACCTCTAAAAAACAGTAGTAAAGTAGATCGTCACTAGGAGGTGAGTAACTGTGCTAGCATGTTGTGAAAACAGTTGTAAGGAACCAAGCTCAGCACAATTAACTGATCCGACCTTGGTCCGAACTCAGCACGGATCGGTTTTCAGAGGGTAGTGTAAATGGGGCTATAGTTGGTATTGCCAATGTATTTAACTGGCCTCGACAGAACCAACCAACCCTGTGACGTCACAAGCTTAGATCACTACAAGATGGCGGTACCCTTGTCTAAAATTACTATTAACAACTATGTTTTTCTATATTACAGCAATATTTTTCTCATTTGTCATATAATTATTAGTGATGTTAAGACACAATCTTAATACAACCTGAAAGTATGCATTTCTAACTTGTGGTAAGAGGAATTTATCTCTCCCTTACTGAGCAATTGGTGGGGTAAATCCAGCTGTTTAGAGCATTAATCACACTGTAAAATTCTGGCTCCTTATCTGTTGGGGACATTTTGGGGGAGTTGGTGGAGTTTATATAAGGTAGTTTTAAGATATTTCATCTTTTATATTCCAGGTTTGCTTTTTATATGATTTTAATTTCACTTTTTTGTGGCACTTTGAGAAGTGTAATTATAATGTTTAACATTAGTAATTAAATAATTAATTGTCACCATTATTATCTTTACCTATACCTTAGGACTTCATCTTTCTAAAGGCTCCCATCAAGCTAGCACATACAGTCTGCTCCTTTTCGGAGGACAGAAACAAACCAATTTGCACATCTTATGAGACCCATCTTTGTCATTCCACGTGATTCATACTTCATACGGGCATTTCTCCATTTTTTTTTTGTCTACACATATAATCACTCCTAATTTAGAAACTCAGGAGATTAGGCCTTTAGTAGTTTGAAGCATCCAGACACATTAAATCTGACCATTCTTACATTTGTTACATTTTATTTTTTTGTTTGGTTTTAGAAGTTGTACAAATGTTATACATTTTACTTTGTCTGTTAATAAAGAATATCCCATGTTTGTTTGCATTTGCATGTGGTAAAATAAAAGCTATGTACATGATATAACGATATTGTTATGATTTAAAGGAATAGTACACCCAAAACATGATTAGCCTTCATTTTCTACTCCCCCCCATGCTGAACAAAACTCTGGAGTACTTTTTTGATATCTCAAATGCATCTGGAGATCTGGGAGGCTTCTTGCTGTCTGCTGACATTCAAATAATGGAGGTCTATGGTGCCCGAGACAGAAAGGTCCATAAAAGTCCACAAAAAACGTGTCAATATTCCTCCATACTGCTCGTCCAATGATTCCAAGTGTCCTGAGTGGGTAGCGTCCATAATTTACTCGAAACGAAGTCATTTAGAATGTTTTTAGAGCATAAACAGTAGTTTATAGGATTTCCTGAAAGCGCGCGCCTGCGAGTTCACGAGTCTACGGAAACCGCGGCAGACCAAACCAGCGCATTCAGCTCGGCAAAGAACTCATGCTCTTCCTCAACACTGAAGTCCTCAGACATTTTTCTTTCGTTGCTTCTTTCTTTGCACAGGTAAACAGCACATTTCTTCTTCTACGCTTGCATTATCAGCAGAGCAGACGCTGAATGCGCACTTTCATCTGGTTTGGTCTGCCGCGGTTTCCGTAGCGTCGTGAACGCGCTTTCAGGAAATCCTATACACTACTGTTTATGCTCTAAAAACATTCTAAATGACTTCGTTTCGAGTAAATTCTGGACGCTACCCACTCAGGACACTTGGAATACATTGGACGAGCAGTATGGAGGAATATTGACACGTTTTTTGTGGACTTTTATGGACCTTTCTGCCTCGGGCGCCATAGACCTCCATTATTTGAATGTCAGCAGACAGCAAGAAGCCTCCCAGATCTCCAGATGCATTTGAGATATCAAAAAAGTACTCCAGAGTGTTGTTCAGCATGGGGGTGAGTAGAAAATGAAGGCTAATCATGTTTTGGGTGTACTATTCCTTTAATCTTGGATGATTAATTTTAGTCACAACCCACAAAAATGGATGTACTTACTTTACAGGTTCCCAGGACTCTCTCTCAAAACCTCTATGAATGGACTGGGCAATGGATGACTCCATCAGGTCCACATATCGCACAACCAGAGGGGCATACAGGTCCTGTAGGTGTTTATGAAACTTCCCATTGCACAGGTTATCTAAAGGATCAAAGGGTGTGAGAAAAATGGTACAAACAATTTATACGTTTTGGAGCCTGAAACATCTATTTTCTCTATTGTTTTCTTAATCAGCAGTTTTAGTTTCCAATATTATGCTCTGCTTAGATTTATTTATGTGAAGTCGGGAGAAGGGGGACTTTAAATCGCATGATTAAGATCAGTTAGACAAAAGAAAAATTCCTAGTTTTTGGTCATTAGTGCTTATTTATAGAACCTATTATTACTGTATGCAGGACAAAACATTCATTTTGTCTTTATTCCATCTTTTTTTTTTACATATATAACATATGGGGGCTGGCCCACACGATGATCTTGATTAAGACATAAATAAATATTAAATTATAAAATCAAAATATTTTAGTATATTTTTTAGATTTGCAAGATAAATATTTAATCTTTAATGATGAACAAAGCTGTTTTGTTCGTTGTTGGATTGGTCATGTATTTCCACCCTGGGGCGCAAAAATCTTTGTCCATATACTCTGGTTTAAAGTTGTTCATGCGCAGTAGCACCTCTTCAATGCAATAGATAAAACCATCCTGGGGAACAGCTCTCCTGTGCCCAGAGTTAAAGCAACTCTATTTGCACACCACCTCCTGCTACAGTGCTCAGAATGCGGCTGATTGACAAGTTCATAGAATTATTTAGCAGCAAGGCTTGGCTAACTGCATGCAGTAAGGCTAACACTTTATTCTGCTTTCCCTGCCTCCTTTTTCAAACGTCAGTATCTGACCCAGAATCAATTAAGACTATTAGGACTATGACTGATTTAAAACACCTTTAAGACATCTTATACACTCACCGGCCACTTTATTAGGTACCCCATGCTAGTAACGGGTTGGACCTCCTTTTGCCTTCAGAACTGCCTCAATTCTTGGTGGCATAGATTCAACAAGGTGCTGGAAGCATTCCTCAGGGAGTTTGGTCCATATTGACATGATGGCATCACACAGTTGGCTGGACATCCATGATGCGAATCTCCCGTTCCACCACATCCCAAAAATGCTCTATTGGATTGAGATCTGGTGACTGTGGAGGCCATTTGAGTACAGTGAACTCATTGTCATGTTCAAGAAACCAGTCTGAGATGATTCCAGCTTTATGACATGGCGCATTATCCTGCTGAAAGTAGCCATCAGAAGTTGGGTACATTGTGGTCATAAAGGGATGGACATGGTCAGCAACAATACTCAGGTAGGCTGTGGCGTTGCAACGATGCTCAATTGGTACCAAGGGGCCCAAAGAGTGCCAAGAAAATGTTCCCCACACCATGACACCACCACCACCAGCCTGAACCGTTGATACAAGGCAGGATGGATCCATGCTTTCATGTTGTAGACGCCAAATTCTGACCCTACCATCCGAATGTCGCAGCAGAAATCGAGACTCATCAGACCAGGCAACGTTTTTCCAATCTTCTATTGTCCAATTTCCATGAGCTTGTGCAAATTGTAGCCTCAGTTTCCTGTTCTTAGCTGAAAGGAGTGGCACCCGGTGTGGTCTTCTGCTGCTGTAGCCCATCTGCCTCAAAGTTCCACGTACTGTGCGTTCAGAGATGCTCTTCTGCCCACCTTGGTTGTAACGGGTGGTTATTTGAGTCACTGTTGCCCTTCTATCAGCTCCAACCAGTCTGGCCATTCTCCTCTGACCTCTGGCATCAACAAGGCATTTCCGCCCACAGAACTGCCGCTCACTGGATGTTTTTTCTTTTTCGGACCATTCTCTGTAAACCCTAGAGATGGTTGTGCGTGAAAATCCCAGTAGATCAGCAGTTTCTGAAATACTCAGACCAGCCCTTCTGGCACCAACAATCATGCCACGTTCAAAGTCACTCAAATCACCTTTCTTCCCCATACTGATGCTCGCTTTGAACTGCAGGAGATTGTCTTGACCATGTCTACATGCCTAAATGCACTGAGTTGCCGCCATGTGATTGGCTGCTTAGAAATTAAGTGTTAACGAGCAGTTGGACAGGTGTACCTAATAAAATGGCCGGTGAGTGTATATTTTATTTTGTATATAAAGTCTATTTTGAAGTTGTAGCCCCCCCCTGGAGAAAACTCCATCAGCAGCCACTGTATATAATATTTCTTTTTCCCAGGCTTGCCACACAAAAGGTCAGAGTTTTATGGTGTTTCTAAATTCAACACATCAAAAACATTTCCTCCAGTCTCTGCCGACTCCCAACTGATAAAAAGGCAACACTGACAAAGACCACAGGAGATAAAATGGAGGCAAGTGTGTGCTAATGTGATGCCTCACGGCTCCATGCAGCGTGTCTGCTTTTTCCTCTCCTCTCTCTTTGTTTTTCTCTCTCCCTCTGAGCATGTGTTTGTGCGTTTGTGTTTGTGTGTTGGCATTTGAGTCAAGGTCGATGATACACAGTAGGTGCGATGTTTGTTGTTTGCCCTGATTGCCACACTCCAAATTAGCCACTTGAGCGGCTGCTGTCCACTTTGATGTGTTGTGTCCAGGAGTATGCTTGCAGGGTTTGCAATGGCAAAACTACGACTACTTTAGACCTCATTAACTCCTCGAATGGCAGCTTGACTTTGGTGCCTGTCTACTACTATGGCTGTTTACTACATTAATGTGCTTCTTTGGGGCAACAGAACAGATTACCTTATGTGGTAAAGATGTCCCTATGATAATACATGTAGCTAATGTTTCTTTATTTTTTTGCAGATAATGGTTCTGCTATAATTATACTGATACCGTTGCTGTGTGAATAAACACTAATATAAAAAGGGAGGGTTTTAAGGATTTAAAAGGAAAGCAAATAAGGTTGCTGCCTCCGAACCCCTGCCCTGGATAAAGCGGAAGTGACTGGAATAAAAATGGAGTTTGGTTATGGCACAGTTTTTACAAGGTTTAATTTTTTTATTTAAATCAATTTAATATGAATTTTCATTGCTCAGGTTTTTTAATGCTAACTTTTTATTTATTATTCATATATTTAATCATTTTATTAAAAGCTACTTATCTGATTTTCTTTTATAATTAATCTCTTTATTGATTTATTTATGCTTATTTATCTAATCTTTTTATTTGTAGTAAAATGTTCACCATGCCTTTAAAATCAGCACATCATTTGACCAGCTTCCTTGTTATGCACAGTTTTTGCCAAAACCACAGGTCACACTGTCCACTAAAATCTTCATGGAACAATCATGCTTCTATTGACTCAGTCCAAATTTGCTGCAGTTATAGTTGAGATGTACATCTATACAGTCTGAGGCTTTAAAAAAGATCAAGCGGGGATTTCTTGGTGTTTTGCAGTGTTTTATTTAGAAAGAAATTAGGCGGAACTCAAAAAAATATATTTCCCTGTTCAATCGGTTATAAATACAAACATTTACCATGGTGGTTGCACTTTGAGAGTATTCTTTAAGGATTTTGTGTCATATAAATACTTATTTTTATTTCCATTTTATTAATTTACAGCTATACTTAAATGTAATCAGACAAGTGAGACACCTGCTGTCTTGAGTGGAATTGAATACTGTTGATAACCAGAGAGAGATGAGAAATAGAGTTTACAACTATTGAAATCACCAATTAAAACTGGGGCCCCATGTGAATGACCCAATTCAAACTGCTGCTCATACTTCGCTGCCACTTGGTGGAGCAGAAAGGCACAAAGGAAAATGTTTCCAAAATTGCTTGTAAGATAACCATGCCTTAAAGTGTCATACTCCCAGGCCTGGGTGCAGGCCGGGTTTTTCCTTTTTTTTCTCTCTGCAGGGCTTGACGGGCAGCTGCTCCTCATCAAGCCGATTCCCACCTTTTTTAAGGAGCTGGAACCAGGAGGAGGGCGTCAGTTCGTTAATGCTCCAGCGTTGGTACAACTGATCCTGAACCAAGCCTAGCTCCTTAGCTTTGCCTGAACCTAACCCTGTCCTCTCTGCTCCTTCTAGAACCCAGGATTCCAAGCCTTGAAACCACTCCAGAGACCTCTCCGCTTTGGACTCCCATTAGAGGTGTTTTCAGTCAGCCTCTAAGAACCAGTGAGGCTTCGGGCCTCAGAGCCATAATTGCCCTCCTGCCTGAGCTCACCTCCCTGTCCACCCTCAGACACCACCATCTGATCTCACCCACCGGACCTGCACCATTCGCCTGGACCACTGGTCACCATCATCCCAAGACAGACGCCAAGCCGCCCTCTCTGTGAGTCTCACACATCCCTCACTCTTCAACCAGCACCGAACTGTTGCTCACCTGTCACCAAACCTCTTCCAGCAGTATCCTAACAACCCTGCCTGCCGGACTTCACTCTGTACAACCACAAATCTTCAATAAAACCCTTAACTGATCCTTGCCTCCGTGATTGCTCCTATTCAGAGTCTGAAAACCAAAATATGACATAAAGAGAATAAGCAGTTCAGTTTTGGGGGGATACTGTCGTCCTCCCAGAATAGTTGCTGCACAACGATTCAAAGATGCACAGAAAAATAACTCTTCCCTGTTTTGTCCTGAAGTCTCATTAGCAAAGAACCCCTCCAGGTTGATTAGAGGAATTAAGCCAGGTCTCTGTGATAAAAGGCAGCACGACCCCTGTTACTCAGAAGGTACTTTGGTGTTGACCAGGTGGGCGTCCATATTAAGATTTAACCGAGGAACAATTGGCTTTTAGTTGGAACAGCTCACTGACGCATGTCTACCCGGGTCAAATGACTCGGCAAGAGACCCGTGTTAAAACCGCCTCGGCTCTGATTGGCATGCTGTGGGAACACCAGTGCTTGATTGACCCGCTAAATTATATCACTCCATCGAACGCAAGATATGGACCTTAACACGCTACACCGGTTGCTTTTGATCTAACAAACTGAAACGACTCTGTTTACATTCGATAATTCAATAATCGAACTAAACAATATTGCACACTGGCTACTCCCTGGCTTCCTTCCATGTTGCTCTCTATTGTTTACTTTCCTGATATCTGTCACACTGGTGACATCATCAATGCTAACACAGCGTG